TAGGCCTACCATCAACCCGACAAATTAAAAATGCAATACACAATTGAAATTGTACAAACTTTTAAATTCTCATTAGAAACTAGAACTCACCCCATTTTTTCCCAATTCAGTAACATTCAGTAGAGTTTGCCAGCCCTCATCTGATATAGGTACTTGCAATTTCAGCAATAGAAGCTGCCAGTCCGGGACACTCATATTCTTGACTTGTTTTCCCAAAATTTCTGTTGGGAGAATTTCCTCTAGGGTTTTCWCTAGTCCTAAAGTCTCCTCAACTTCCAAAATCACGTCACGAATGACTTTCCTGCTTTCACCAGGCAGTTTTCCCCGCGCAAAAACGCAGCATCTAGCCAAAACACTGTTTAACWCTTCTCCATTCTCGTGACAAATCTTAWGGATTTCTTTAATGATGTTGGTACACTTGTCCCTTATCTTTCTTTTTTTGTATTGAGGCTCGTAATCGTGCTCTTCTATTTYTTGGAAAGAAATGACCGAATTAAAAGAGGACGACGAAGAACTCGAAGACCACAATAACGGGGATAATTTTGGCGCGCTACCATGCGATTTCTTGTTAATAATATAGATGCCAAAATTTCGAACCAAAATTCTTTGTTTATTAATATTCATGCTCATGMATATGCATAAGTGTTGAACATTTTCATTGGCTGTCGCTTAGTGAACAATTATCCAAAAACTGATCATATTATTGTGGTTTAATAAGGATAAGATGTCCTATACAAAGTCAAAGTCACGAGTAAGTTACTCGAAAAGATTGTCAAAACAAGGCAGCTCAGCATTCAAGTCTTGAARTGGCGTTGGATTTCGCATCATGTTGAAGGTGACTTGGCAGTTGTGAAACGTGTTTTTTACAACAATCTGCTTCTGAGCATTCTGTTTAGCCGTCGTCGTAGTTGTAGACACGTGATTTCTCGGTCTAGCGATAGAAAACAAGTACCTTTTTCGTTTAGGTATCTGTCGAGGGAGGACTGCATCACTCTTAGGCAATCCTCCGTTTTTGCTCTTGACCTCAGCGTAAAAAATCTCGAGTATTTTGTTTAGATCTTCTGGTTTTGTATCTGCTATAATTTYGCTTATGCCTCTTGCTTCTTGCCACTCTTTAAACACATTGTACCAGTAGTTAGTATTTTTTTAAGGTGTTTTTGTTTTTAGACTGTAGACGTAGCTGCTCTACTTCATTCTCAGTAACATTATCAAACCTCCGTTTACTAAAAAAAARCCCCGCCATATTGAAGCAAAAGCAACATCTTAAATTTTCCGCTAAATTTGTTGCTATGACAACTGCTGTGATCTGATTGGCTAGTTTGAATTCCTTTTGTCTTTCCAACCAATCACTGAAAAGTGTTTCACATTTTTGCACTGGTGTTTCACATTTTTGCACTGGTGTTTCACATTTTTGCACTGGTGTTTCACATTTTTGCACTGGTGTTTCACATTTTTGCACTGGTGTTTCAGGAAAACAGCACTGCTCTCAACCAATCAGAAGTGAGAAATTTTTACATCTATGTTACTACATCTGAAAACAAATGTGAGGACCTTCAACACGCACTGACAAACCTTCACGCTTGGAGCAGAAGTAACTATCAAWTTTAACRTGTCCAAATGTAAAACCTTGATGGTGACACGYAAGAAAAGTCCAACATCTTATGAGTACTACCTTGGGACAGAAGAACTTCTACGAACACAAGAGGAAAAGAATCTAGGAGTCACCGTTTCAAGCAACCTGTCCTGGGACACTCACATTCACACCATTACAGCTAAAGCCAACCAGCTTCTTGGTTTACTAAAGAGAACGTGTTCACAACTAACAGACACCAGAACCAAAAGGACGCTATACTTTTATCTCACTTAAAGATCACAAAAAACCCTCATTCTGGACACCACTTAAATTMTTCTTTTCTTGTTAATTCACCCCAAATCCATTAAAGTACCAAGCGAAAAATTATATTTTGAAAATCACAGTCAAAAGACATTGAGTCGCTCTTCTTATGCTTGTCACGGATCTCATATTATCTATGACTTATCTTTCCCTTTCACGATTTAAGAATTCTCTCAAATACTTTGTCCCTAGCAAATTTTGTAAGTGACACCAAACAATGGTCAAGTCTCTTATTTGATTTCCCCTTCAAGTAGCTGTACTTGAGCTCTCTTTGAATTGATTCCAYGTGCACGTTGGTGTTGATTCCACATTTCTTTCTAAAGACAAATGCCCATTCTTCTTTTCTGCCTGGCTAAAACTGTTGAAAGTACTTAAAGAATGGTTCAGCTTTGGGGGAGTATTGTAAGAATTCTAGTACCAGCGTTAGATTTCTTTCATGTTCTTTTTTCTTAACTTTCTTTCAATAGTATTCTTAACTGCTTATATGTTTCTGTATCTATCTCTCAGGGACGGAGGGGCAGTTTTTAAAGTCCCGCCCACCCCACCCCGCCCTTAAAATAATTTGATAAGTACAATTAAAAGACTAGTGAATTTTTCAGCAGCAACAAATCAACATCTTTATTTCAATGTTAACGACTAGTGAAACGATCAAAGTAGACGGAAAGGCATTACCGCTATTTTTCTTAAGGAAAAAATATGATATGTGATCTCTTGATTAAACATGTTTCTGGAATGAGCCGAACTGTCAATAACAGTAATGACTTCCACTAAGTTTTGTTCAATCTCAATACAAATGTTACAATGGAAATCGGCCGCTGTGAATTTCCCAAGATTCCTTTTCCGATTTTCATTGAGAGACTCAAAGGCATTGGCAACCGATACTAGGCAAATGTTATCCAGTCTTGTCTTGTGAGTGTTAAGGATGGCCAATTAAGTAAAACGTGCTTGTTACATTCGTGAACGAAGCCAGGTTTTCACTCGTCTGGCAGTTGAAAAAGAACGCTCTCCAGTTGAAMTGATGGCTGGATTAACGCGTATTAATTTGCATATTTTTATTACTTGGTCAATAAAATTTCGTWCATGTACACTGAGTGAATTCATGGCGCTTGCGATGTCTTCAAWGCACTCTAACACGCTATTATGTCCTAACATCAACACTTTGAWTGTACTTATACTGAGCGCCTAATGCTGATGGACACACATCTCCACTGAAATTTGATGACAAGGCATCCATTTCCTTTGCTATGTCATTCCCATGAGTTTCATTGACAAGCAAACGTTCCAAATTGTGGTAAACAAGAAATGCTGGCTGGTTAAAGCGTTCTTTAATAGCAGATGTTAAGCAATCTACTTGCTTCAAAGAATATTCCTCGCTAATAGTCTCGAGCTGTGCTTGGATATTGTGGCTCACCAGTGCCAACTTAATAACGTGATGGGGCATGTCGTTTTCTTGGGAGCATCGGCTCAGAAAGTGATTGATGCTCTTTCGCCTTGATTAGAACGACATCATAAAAAGAATTAAACTATTCATCATTTCTAATACTTTCCAAAGTGTTAACAGTTAGGCGGGCAAGGTTCTGCCCTGTAGTAGCTGAAATCCGCTTGGATTGCCGAGACTTGGAAAGATTATCAGTGTGTGCAAAAACACAGTGGCTTAAATGAAGACCAAAGAAAAAGTGGAATGTCTTCATTCGTGCTTGGCAGCCAAGAATGTGGGCTCTGGTATCAGTGTCAATTTTACTTTCAAGGCATGTATCCCATACATTATCTCATTCAAAGGGTATGCCTTGCCGTGCAAGGTATTGCACTGTTTCAATTATTTTGGCGCAGCAATGACGATTTTGTTGTCTTATTTGTTGTGCGTTGCTGTTGGACAAGTCAATAATGTTACAGTTCGTTTTCGGTATAGCAATCTCATAGTGAACAGCAAGTTTATGGCATTCTGAAGTTTGATGTTTCTTAAATTTTTGGATTGCTTTCTTCCAATTCGTAAAGCCTCTGAATATAAATGCTCCTTCAGTGTTTTTGGCAGACGCTAAGTTAYCTTTGAGATACTGGCTTGAACAAATCATAGTGCAGCCAAGGACACTCACTTAACCATGTCCTTTGAACCGAGCGATATTGTTTAAGGCCGCYGCACACGGTGAGCAWTTTGCCTCGCGAGCAATTTTCTCACTGGCACGCGAGGCAGAAAACTCACCRTTTGCGGGTAGATTTCGAATGTTTTAATTTCTCGSGAGGCGCTGAGTCAATTTTCTCTCTTGCTTGAAAATTTTGAACTCGCTATATCACATTTACAAACATGTACTTTCCATTACAAAGTATATAATAAAAATAGTTAACATGAAATATTCTAAAATATCTTTCATTATGGGGATATTAGGATGAAATTGATCAATACAAACAAAATGTACATTTACAGTTTATCACTCAAGAGATGAAATAAAAATCCAATCATATAATTATGCAATTRTTATTGTCTGAAAATTTAAAGACTGGGGGGTTTTATGCTTACAAATCTTGCCAAAATTATACACCTTACCATGCAATATATAGTTAGTGCACTAAGGAGAAATATTGAAAGTCAGCTTCATCATATGACATATAAAGTACTTTCAGTTAGAGTGGTTTTCATAATATCAATTTATTTAGTGCTACTGCACATAAAGTCTTTTGTTTTCAATTGTTCAATTCCCACTATTAGACAGTAAAGTATCAATTGTTTCACAGTCAGGTTTCTGATCACAACTCGGGCGTATCCAGGGGGTCACAGTTTGGCCGTGACCCCCCTTTGTAAGTCTCCTTTGGCTAATTGCTGCATTCCAGTTCTGCATCCWGCTTTTTTTTCCTCAGTTGACAAACTCTGATTTTTAATCTATATGATGATGACAAGATAGATGATATATAGATGAAGAMAACTAAAAGATACAATATATACAAGAAACTAAAATATTAATATGCCATAATATATATCATTCATTCAATTTTAGATGCCATCAACGCAAGATGAATGGCTTGAAGTAGCGGATGAATATAAAACCAAATGGAACTATCCAAACTGTGTTGGAGCCATTGATGGGAAACACATAGCCATCAGACAGCCCCCTCACTCTGGCTCAGAATACTTTAACTACAAGCATTTTTTTAGTGTTCTAATGCTAGCTCTTGTGGATGCTAACTACAAGTTCCTATATGTCAATGTTGGTGCTCCTGGCCGGGCTGGGGATGCAGGAGTGTTTTCAGAATGCTCCCTAAAGAAAGAACTGATTACAGGTAAGTTATCATTATGCATACATTTTATTGATTTGTGAAGTTTACCTAATATTTCAATCATGTTGTCCAAGTGTTTTTATCAGAGTAATAATACATGGAAAACTGTTTTTAATGCTTTTATAAAATAAGAAGAGAGCATGCCAAGCATTTATTATACTCTCATCAAACATGGCTTTTTGACCAAGCAGATTGAGCATAATATCAAAGTTATTTCATAATTATTTATTAAAATATTATCAATTATCAAAATTTCATATAAAGTTTTTTAAAACTTAAATTAAAATTTTTAAAGGTAACCTCAACCTGCCACCCCCTGGAGTTGTCAATGGCATTCCTTCAAAACTTCCATASCACCTCATTGGAGATGATGCCTTAATAATATATAAATTATTCAACAAATCTAAGATTATTATGATAATATATTATTTCAATGTCACTGCAGATCGTTCAGCTTTCAAAGGGCTCCATGATAAAAAAAAGAAACATATTTTTTGGTGTTTTAAGTTTAGACATTTATATAAATGATTGATATGGCGTTCAAAAATGTCATGCATTTTAACTTCTCTGAATTAATTGTATAAAAATCACAAAAGTTTATTCATATTTCTGTATTTCAACATGTTATATAACATGAATTAGGATTTTAATTTTCCACAAAAACATAAGCATTTTATTAATTAAAGCTGTATATGCGATTGCTTTATGCCAAATGATTTATCAAAATCGTTTATCGCTGATTGAACTTATAGTGACATTACGTTTTTAAGGCRCTTTATCTTAACTGACTGGTTCACTTTCCTTTCCAGCTCACTTATGCTGGCCTCTCTGAGAGTACGACGTTTAAAATCAAGAGACCGAACATCGTACAAACAAGGATAATCCGGCCAGAGTTCAACCAATTTCTCTTYTTGTTGTAGTTSTACCACTGGCGCCGCCATGTTTGTTTTGATTTTGAGGTCATCACGTGACAAAACGGGCGCTTATGATTGGCTGTGGGGAAAAATCAGGCGAGCAAAACGTTCACGTCCTCCGTAAACTTTGCAATTTTCGTCATGCGAGTTCAAAATTTTCAAGCAAGAGAGAAAATTGACTCAGCGCCTCGCGAGAAGTTAAAACATTCGAAATCTACCCGCAAACGGTGAGTTTTCTGCCTCGCRTGCCAGTGAGAAAATTGCTCGCGAGGCAAATTGCTCACCGTGTGCGGCGGYCTTTGCCATAAAGTTTCTTAGGAAAATCATAATTACTTGGCTGATTGGGATTTTGGAGTGAATTTGCTGTGTTACGAATATCCTGATCCGGCAAAACCGTAGATTCGGTAGAGTCTTGTGATAACGTCAATGGCTGTTCCTCTGTTTTATCTTGCAATTCCGGTTGTCTTGTCACTTTTTGGAAATACTTATTSATAGTATTTTTTTTATTTGACATTTCATATGTTTCCTCCTTTTTCTACTGGATGATATTAGAGAAAATTTTGTTCMCTTGTCGCTCAATACAGCAAATGTCTATAATCGTCAACTTCAACGATCCTCGCAAAAGCAGTACKGTCAACCCTTTGAATGGCATGTATATCTTCAACACTCAACTTGTGGCCAGTGCTATCTAGTTCCACTGTATTATKACTGTATTGTAATAGATGTAATAGAGTGGATAAATTTGGAGCTTCAGTAACATAGGCAACATTGATCAATTTGAGGTGACTGTGACTTTTGAAACACGATGATTCAAATGCCTCTTTAGAAATACCTCTACTGACCTCTACGCCACCTTTTACACACGCGGCTTACTTTACAAATCCTTTTAAAAGTATTCAAATGGCTAAATATGATAGAAAAAAAACAGATCTGGCAAGCTATCCATTGACTAGTTGATGAGTCGTACAATTCATAGTCTCCCTCGCATCCGTTTTTAGTGTCGGTCGTCACGCAACGCTCCCTCCCCACAAACGGCTGCTTGCATTCGAACTACATTCCTTTCTCATTGTTTGGCYAATCACAAGACGGGTTACATATTTAGAAAACCGTTCGCGGACTTTTGATCTGACCAATCACCGTGCAGCTTTTATTTCGCATTCTCAACTCGTTCATAGTATACATTGTTTGGCCTCGTGTCTTCAAAGTTCGGTATTCCTGATCTAAATGCGAATCAGAAGTCGGCTATCAAAACTTTAGTCAAAGAGAAAAAAGATATTTTTGTCAATCTTCCAACAGGGTTTGGCAAATCTCTAATTTACCAAGCTCTCCCTCTCGTATTTGACTACAAATATACGCTAGAGTCTGGTCACATCGTGGTTGTTGTGTCTCCTTTAATTGAGACCTTTAGATCCCACGATGAGTACGAGAACGAGTCCGAGTTAAGACTTTTAAAGATTGGCACTATCTCTTTGTTTTCTTTGAACGTATATGAAATAAATTGAAACTTTAGATTGTAAAAAATCGGAAATCGACTACGATATCGATTTAGTGTTACTCGTACTCGTACTCGTCGTCGTATATAAAGGTCGCTAATAAGCCTTATGGATGACCAAGTCTCAAAGTTACGTAGTTTAGGATTTAGTGCTGTGAAGATAAGCTCACTAGAAGAGGAAGAACGGTGTGAAGTCCAAAACGGCGAATATTCCGCACCGATTTCTTTCGAGGATGTTCTTCGCCAGCTCGATTGAAACTCACCATGTTTATACTTTCGGACACTGTGATTGGCTCAATAGGAAACAATACGCTCGACCTCATTGGTACGATCCAAACAATGAGAAAGGAATGTAGTTCRARTGCAAGCAGCCGTTTGTGGGGAGGGAGCGTTGCGTGACGACCGACACTAAAAACGGATGCGAGGGAGACTATACAATTCATGAACTAGGACGTTTGTAAAACGTGACCTCACGCATGCGCTATGCGATTCTGTCGTGCCAGGCCCTGGCTCACACGGTCACCACAGGTAATCCAATCTCATCTCGACCTGAGAATTCGATTTCTTACACAAAGTAGAAATATCATCGTAAAAAGTGGAAAGCTCTCAAAACCAGCTGAAAATGAAAGTCCAATTATGTGTATTTATTTCATTGTACACATTCTATGATGTACTATAACTTGKTTTTTAGTTTCAAATGAGTTTGTAAAGATAAAACATTTTTTCTTTTAGAAACTCGTTTTAAAAAACTCAAGAGAGAGATGGAATGTTCATTAAGAAGTTTAGCATTCAATTTGACAATCATCAATTAGTTTGCGTGGGTTCATTAGTGTTTTCATACTTTCATTAGCGTTTTGGTGCAGACAGTAAACCACAACACACATCCAATACAGTGTTTTGGACATTTATTTACGCAAAATAATTATAAGAATATAGATTGTAGATTTTCAAAAACAAAAAAGTGCATTTATCCTTGAATGTGTTCTCTGTTTAAACATCATGTTTGCATGTAGTTGTACCATTGTATGCATTTCTGTGGAGTGATGGCATTTATATTTCTTGTAGTTGCCCTAAGAAGCAATTGTTTTCTGAATTCTCCAAGCGGAAGGCCTTGTCTTCTTGYTTCTTCTCTGTCTCCCATCAAACGTTGCTGCTCTGGACGGGATGTGACAGGTTACTTTGATTTCCACGGTTTATTAAAAGAAAAAGCAGTAATGGCCTAGAATTATACAAAATTCTAATGAGTTGGAGGTCGTACCAATGACCGATTATAAATAAAACTAACTTACTTATGCTACTCTTGAAATCGAAAGCGAACGAACATACATGGCGGCTCTTGTCACTCGTGGCCTGACTAGTGCCAGGCAACACGAGTAGGGCGGCAGAGGGATCCCGCAGTTGCCACTTCTCACATCCTTCCCTGCTGAGGCTGGTGTCCACGACAASCATGATGAATGTAAAATTATACTACGTACATGAATGAACTTTAAAGTGTCTATCAAACGTGATTGTTCCTTGCTTAGCATTTGCATTATAAGCAGATTAGACTGTGCTATACTGCTCATTATAGTATTTGGATCTACTGTAATTATTGAATGTTCGTGGACACTGGTAGGAATTTTTTCCCGTGTTCCCTTTTCCCTGCTGGATTAGGGCAGTAGCTCCTATTTACCTCATACCAGTTATCAAACCATAACATAATTTGAATTAGTTCMCTATAGCAACAGGGATTAACCCCAGAACTGTCATTAAAGAGTTGAAAAAGGCAGTGACAATTTTTGATGTGATGTCTTGTTAAAATCGTATTCTCAGCAGGAAAAGAACCTTTAAAGATATCAATTGCCACATCAGAAGAGCACAGCGTTACTGCACGTTTAATGCTCATTTTTGTCCTCGTAGTTAATTCAATATGTTTCCATTTCACGTTTGTTAGTCTTCTTAACATTCATTCACCTGGGTTCAGACCGTTCTATACAATAGAAATATTTCAGGTCACTCACTCACCCTAACCCCTTGATAGATCAAAAGTTATTCCAAGACCACCCTTTTCAGGCRTAGGAAAATTTCAAGCCCCCTTATTTTTTCACCCATCCCCCCTCCCATTAATAATAAATGGTCCCAATGGTAAAAATGGCTATTACTCCAAACAATGCTTGAATATGAAAATAATGTACATGCGCTTTTAGCTTTACTTACCTCTGTTTCGCCTTCTCATGRCCAACAGGATGTTAGGGCTCTGTAGGTRTGTTGGCCCTRGCTGTGGTCTCATCCAATGTTGATGACTGAGTTTCATTGGGCACATCCTCCAACCCAACTGTAACAGGTTTTGAAGTAAAACTTTCTTCTCCATAATGCACCTGAGCAACATATGTTCCTGTTTCTTCAAATTTGTAAGGCACTGGTTGTGACCATTACMATTGAGTTTTTCATCTTTGTACCAGGAGTACATGACCGCAAGTTCATTGTGAAAGTTTGTAATGACTCCGATTATCAGGTTGTCCCCAGTGTAACTTATTGGGAGGTATATGTTATCGTTGATCATTACTTCTGCCACAAAGAACTTGTGTTTTAAAGGATTATACTCTTCTTCACTATCATCCAAACACTCAGTAGAACATAGGTGTTGCGTGCTGCATAGGTGTTGTCCCATCCTGAGAAAAAARCATAACTCAGTCTACCAGAATACCCGGATGTTATACATGACTCAAATACAACATCAAGATTTTGCTGGGATTGTCCAGAAAAGCATAATATTTGGTGGATGCTTGCAATTAGCTTCCTTACTTCCTCGTTGCTGCTTTCTTTTAATTCAAGGTCTTCTCCTCCTTTCTTTTCATCTTCTAATTCTTCTCTATCATCTAACTCTGGTGAGTCGTTGTTGCCTTCTTTTAATTCAAGGTCTTCTTCTTCTTCCTTTTCATCCTCTAATKTTTTGCCATCATCTTCCTGACTAATTAACTCTGTTGAGTCAGTTAGTAAATAAAACCTTATTCTTGAGGCAAATAGACCATGCTTTTTCATATATTCTTCTGGAATGAAGGGTTGGGTTTCTTCTCTAATTGGATGACCCTTGGAGTTTCCCACTTTTGCTTTTGCAAAATCATCTTCTGACCAGCCTTCCATAAATGTTGTTAGGGCTACTTCTTTAATAGCATCCAAGGTCATGCCTTCTTGATATGGATGSCGTCTGACACCCCCACCATCTGTGAACCTGACTTAGACATTTTTTTCATTTGCTCGTTTCTTTTTCCAACCCAAATAGATATATAAAGGCCTTCTCCCCTAAAGAAAACAGTTTGTTTAATTATTAACAGAAAACAAGCTTTCAACCATTCTTACAACTTAGTGAGATAATTGCTGTTATATGATAACATTAAAAATGGCATATTAAAACAATGAATCTAATAACTATTAAAACCATGAAGGACTATCTGTGGATATCGTGATGCTTCCCGGCCGGAAATTTTGTTTACTATGCTTGCGTCGCTAACACATAAAAGTACATTGCAATTTACACGATGGTATGTTGCTATGGGATTTAGTCCCATTGCTATCGTGAGATCACGTGACAACGATCAACCTCGTGGACGCCTCAAAGTTGTTTACGTTTAAGACGATATTTTAATTCCGTATATTTGAGTGAAAGAAAGCTTTTAAGAATAAAAATTTTACATGGAGGTGTAGAACCATGATTACATAATAGGATTAAGGCAAAAAATTACAGAATTTGTACTTAAAACTCAACCTCGTTCCCAGGGCCCTCTCGGCCCGACTCCAAAMCAAARTGGCGGTCGTCGGGGAGAAGACCCTGGTAAAGGCTGATCACGTGATCTAAAATACTCCAAGATTTTTGGAGTATTTGATCACGTGGTTTTCGTTCCAAAATGGCGGCCAAACTASTATCCCAAATCGTCTAAATGTGGGAAAAAAGGCCTTTCTTCGTGTGTATGTTGCCCTTGTTTTAAAGTACAAGACAGTTTTTGGATTGCTTGAAGCATGAAAGCTGCAATTTGTGCGAAAGTTCACCAACAACGGTTTTTTAGCCATTTTTTGAGTCGCTTAGAAACAAAAGCGATGTAAAGAAATAACTTACTCCAGGACTTATACTTCATATGGTTTCACTTTCTACTGCTACTGCTACTTTTTCTACTTTTGACTGCTCGGATACTGAGATTCGGAGTTACCCATTGTCTATCAAGTGACCCTTAGCTTAACTGTTTATGACACTTTTAAGATTGCTACCCAAGACGTATCTTTCTTGGAGTACTTCGAAGAGCATAGG